GACCGATTAAGGTTGTGGCCAAGCGGGGCCTTGCGTATACGCGAAACTTTCCCAAACGGATGCGCACCCACCCGGTGATTCACGTGGTTTGCTCAAGCCGTACCGGGATCCGGCGCATGTGAGCGCGGAACCGTTGGCGCCAGAGCGGATCCCACGGGCCCTCGACCACCCAGAAATGGAACCAGCACCTGGTTCTGAGCACGGAGTGCAACAACCTCCATCTCCAATGGAGCCAAGCACCCCTTCGTTGCCTGCAGCGACGCATTCGCCTGATCCACGGCTATGAGTCACTCTGACAGAGCGCGGTAGTCCTCAAGGCGAGGCAGCCGTTGCATGACGCGCTCTAAATCATCTAGAGCGTCCGCACAGCGATATGCTACTTCAGCATGGCGCTCGGTGGAGCTCCGATCACGAAGGATCTCATCCTCAAGGGCTCGAAGAGCATCGCGAGTTGGACGGCGGTCGACCCGGTCGTCACCGGCCGCCACCGACCCTTCTCGATGAGAGCGGGGAGGTCCACTGCCACGTGAAACGTCTAGTGAGACGACGTCGTCACCAGGGTCAGACCCAGTATCTGGTGAAGTGGCGGGGATATCCCGACTCCGAGACTCGTGGAAGTTTGAGACGCCACTTCGGCAAGATTGCCCAGACGCCGTGGAAGCTTTTGGTCAGAAAGATGAGGACACCCCGCGCTTCCCGGCAATAGCCAGGAAAGTAGAAGGGCCATGAACCGAGCTCAAGCGGTGACTCTGAGCTCTTGCGATCGAAGCCACCGAGCTCGCGGGGGCGTTCGGGGTTGACCCATACGTCGCAGGGCGACAATCCAAAGATAGTCGACGGCGTGCCTTGAGTTTGGCAAACTTAAATCGGAGGTGTCGCTCCACACGCACGTCCCCCTCCTTGTGGCTCAGCTGTAGGTTACACAGTGATAAAAGTTTCCGGTGCCGTTGCACCCAACGCTCAAAGAGCGCATCGTCATCTGTAGCGCTATCGCCAGGGGTGAGCACTACAGGTATTGTCCGCATTGTGGGTACACGAGAGCCACCTCGTTGAGCACTCAGACGAGTGCGATAAGCTTCCAGCGGAAATTCTTGTGGAACCAAGAAACGATCTCGAAGAGCCTTCCGTTTGGCAAGTTCATTTTCGGTTTTGACCAAGGCCCGTTGATGTGGACGCGTAACGATCAAACTTCCGCGTCCTTCGCTTCCAAAGCGGGATCCGCTGGGCGGAAGCCATGTTCCACACGAGGGCAATGACCGGCCGTGGATGGGCGCGCCTCGGAGCCGCCTTATGTAGCAGGTCTTGGCTTTCAGCCATCGCATCGCGAACGTGTCGTAGGACACTCAGTCTG